GAGTAATTTTGAAGAAGAGTGGGAGCGCGCGCTGAAAAAAAAGTTTGGTCAAATTTTCCAAAAAATTCCCTCCGCAAACGCCTGTCTTTTAGCCTATTTTATTAAAAACAAAAGTGATTCACAAAAGATACTATAGTTTTTGTTGAGAAAAACTCCTAGAATTAAAAAGATTTCATAATTTTGTAAAACTTTGTTTCGAAAGTTTCTGATAAGTCGAAGCCAGGGTCAAAAAGGGTTTTGATCAAGAACTAAATAGCTGTTATATTGGTTTTTATTCTCATAAAAAATATTCACCCTTGCGATTCAGGTTTGCTACAGATGTATTTTTATTAACAAACTAGGGTATTTTGACGTGTTGAATAAATTATGAAGTGAAAGTTTTTCACAACTAGAATCTACGTGCTTTACCTAGACTTTTTAACTATAGGGTCATGTAACGGCTTAAGTCAAAGCAGGGTAACATCAAGATAATAAATTTTAATCAGTAGCTTTCAATTAAATTAAAGCAGTTCAGCTGATAAAAACCATAAACTATAATTTATGAAAAAAAAACAAGAGATGGCCCCTTACATAAGCTAGTTTTTGACAAGAAGATCACAGTATCATGTTGAGTATAACTCCCTCCCTTTTGGCAAAAAAGGTGGTATTTGGTTACAGGGTTTAAGTTTTTCTATTTTGAAATCCTGTCTGCCTCTGTTGTAAAAGTGAAAAAAGTCAATTTCGAGAAACGTTTTGCAGATACCCAACAAAAACGTCTAATTTTGATAGAAATTCTTTGTGGATAATCTAGCCTATTTTACATGGTTTCTCTATAGAAACTATTTATATCTCATTTAACATTAGGAGTATGCAAATTCTGGAAAGAACAACCTCAAATGAGTTCACTGCTCAACCGCAACGAGATAAATAATATTTATTTAAAAGTTTTAAAAAGATTTTGAGGCCAGATATTTAGCTTAGAGGCTAAGTGTTTCTCGTACGAATAAAAGACTTTGTTCGGTACGGGATTGGATTGAAAACGTCTGAAAAAACAAAACGTTAAAAAGCAAGTAAAGCTGGCTTTGGGCAAATAGCAGAGCCAGTGCGAAGGGAAGTAAATTGTTACAAATAATCAATGTTAGAGATAAGCTTTGATACAAACATAAGAAAACTTCAGTTTTTTTTAAAATTTTTAAATTACTACTGTTTTTGATTGAGGAACGACTAGTTCAGGTATGAAAGCTGTAAACGAACTAAAATAACGAGGCAAGCCTTTCAGTAAACATGGTCTAATTTAGCCTTGATACCGAAACTGTTCAGGCCAGTTTTTCTCGAAACAGGTACAACGGTACAATTATAATAGTTGGGTCAATTATCTTTAGAAGGCTCCCTTAACATTTTTTTGGTTTAATATTTGAAAACATGGTTCGCTTTTGTTTACTTGTGTTATTGAAGTTTTCACGACAATTGACGGACCCATCTTTCATACTTACTTTTTAATGGGTCCTAACTATCATACTTGTACCCATTACTTTAAAAAAAGTCACTAATTTTAGGTAAAAAAATCGCAAAAAGTACAAAAATTGAGTTTTGATTACAAAAGCCCAGTTACGGTTTTGAATAGTAAAATATGTAAAAACTTTCTTGAAATAAACAACATACTTTTTTCCTTTTGTAAACTGAAAAGTTTTTGACTACACGTATTCTGCAAAACTTTTGAAATGAAAAAAATTATACACAAAGTATTTTTCAAACTATTATATGCTAAAGGCTTGCGGTCCTGTTCTATCATAGTTGCTTTTTCGAAGGGTTACTCAATCATAGTAGTACGGTACAATTTATTGATGTTGTAAGAAATCCAATCACGGCCGATAAACTTCAACGTGATTTCAATAGGAGAAGGCACTGAGCAGAAAACAGAGAACGAGGGTTTGAACTTTAATTGATAAAGCAACTATTAAAATTGTGAAAGTTGCTATTGAAATGAATAAATTATACATAAAATTGAAATTCACAAAAAAAAATGATGAGCTTACTCATCGATGTTCATCGTTATTTTTTTTCTTTGAAATCCTGTCTGCCTCTGTTGTGAAAGTGGAAAAAGTCAATTTCGAGAAACGTTTTGCAGATGCCATCCCGTACCCAACAAAAACGTCTAATCTGGATAGAAATTCTTTTTGGATAATCTAGCCTATTTTTTATTATTTCTCTATAGAACCAATTTATATCTCATTTAACATTAGAAGTATGCAAATTCTGGAAAGAACAACCTCAAATGAGTTCACTGCTCAACCGCAACGAGATAAACAATATTTATTTAAAAGTTTCAAAAAAATTTTGAGGCCAGATATTTAGCTTAGAGGCTAAGTGTTTCTCGTACGAATAGAAGACTTTGTTCGGTACGTGATTGAATTGAAAACGTCTGAAAAAACAAAACGTTAAAAAGCAAGTATAGCTGGCTTTGGGCAAAAAGCAGAGCCAGTTTGAAGGGAAGTAAATTGTTACAATTAATCAATGTTAGAGATAAACTTTGGTACAAACCTAAGAAAGCTTCTGTTTTTTTTCTTTAAATTTTTAAATTACTACTGTTTTTGATTGAGGAACGACTAGTTCAGGTATGAAAGTTGTAAACGAATTAAATTAACGAGGCAAGCCTTTCAGCAAACATGGTCTAATTTAGCCTTGATATCGAAACTATTCAGGCCAATTTTTCTCGAAACAGGTACAACGGTACAGTTATGATAGTTGGGGGTCAATTATCTTTAGAAGGCTCCCTTAACAATTTTTTTGGTTTAATCTTTGGAAACATGGTTCGCTTTTGTTTTTTTTTTGTGTTTATGAAGTTTTCACGACAATTGGCGGACCCATCTTTCATACTTACTTTTTCATGGGTACTAACTATCATACTTGTACCCATTACTTAAAAAAATTCGCTAATTTTAGGTGGAAAAATTGCAAAAAGTACAAAAATTGAGTTTTGATTACAAAAGTAAGTTATGGTTTTGAAAAGTAAAATATGTAAAATTTTTCTTGATAAAAACAACATACTTTTTCCTTTTGTAAACTGAAAAGTCTCTGATTCCATATATTCTGCAAAGTTTTGAAATGAAAAACTTATACAACTTATTTTTCAAACTATTAAATGCTAAATGCTTGCGGTCCTGTTCTATCATAGTTGCTTTTTCGAAGGGTTACTCTATCATAGTAGTACGGTACAATTTATTGAATTTGTAAGAAATTCAATAACAGCCGACAAAACTTCAACATGATTTCAATAGGCGGAGGCACTGAGCAGAAAACAGAAAACGAGGGTTTGAATTTCAATTGATAAAGCAACTATTAAAATTGTGAAAGTTGCTATTGAAATGAATAAATTATACATAAAATTGGAGTTCAAAAAAAATTGATGAGCTTACTAATCGATGTTCATCGTTATAATTTTTTTCTTTGATTCTGTTTGTTTTATTAATTCTTTTGTGGTTTTGTTTAAGTTTTTGTTTTTATTGGTTAGCTCGTATAATTCCTTACTTGTTTTTTTTTGTTTTTGCTTTTAGACACTTTCTGCTCGCATAACTTTCTGTTCATTGACCAGCCACATAAACAAAACGAATAGCCAAAAAATTACAAGTTTCAAAATTTGGGGTCTTTTTACACTTTCCGCCTAAATAATAATTCAATTTAAAAATTCAGTCCTGGGTTGAATGGAAACTATTTTGCTTCAATCTCATCGGCTAGAGTTAGCCTATCAAATTTCAATATCATCAGAAAATGTTTTATTCACAACTTTTAGTCGATTTGTAAATAAGCCGAGTTTGTCTGAAATGAGCAATGTTTGGCGAGCTATTCAAAATTATTTCAAATTCGATCCAAAGTTTAACCAGATTAAAAAAAACACAGAAAATAGCTCCATGGAAAAAATTATCACCTCTGTATTTACTCGAAGTCGGCCAAAGAATAAAGTGATCGCATTTGTTTTAACCAAACCAACCAGTGCTATGAGTATTTTGTTCTCAACACTAAACATTGAATATTACAAAATTGCAATATTGAAAAGTTTGGGCCGAGTAAGTAGAAAGGCCCAAAATTTGTACCATAAATTATTTTCTAAGGCGTAAAATATTTATTTGAGGTTGAGGCAGCTTTAACGCGAGTACCTGGTTTCTCATTTTTTGCTACTGGGTAATTTAGTTATTTAGTCATAAAGTCGGCGCGGTGCAATAAACATAAAATCATGGGCCAAGTTCATGTGGCTTTCACTCTGTTTTCTAAAATTTTCAACGAACTATTTTTCTTTGCTCAGTCAGAAAGTGCAATCACGACACTGGAAAAAAGCGCAAACTCCGAATCTGTACAAACTGAGCTAATTGTGAATCTGTTTTTTGAGCAAATTGTGAATCTGGTTTTTTGTGCTAATTGTGAACCTGGTTTTTTGAGAAAATTGTGAATCTGGTTTTTGTGCTAATTGTGAATCTGGTTTTTTGAGAAAATTGTGAATCTGGTTTTTTGTGCTAATTGTGAATCTGGTTTTTTGAGAAAATTGTGAATCTGGTTTTTTGTGCTAATTGTGAACCTGGTTTTTTGAGAAAATTGTGAATCTGGTTTTTTGTGCTAATTGTGAACCTGGTTTTTTGAGAAAATTGTGAATCTGGTTTTTTGTGCTAATTGTGAATCTGGTTTTTTGAGAAAATTGTGAATCTGGTTTTTTGTGCTAATTGTGAACCTGGTTTTTTGAGAAAATTGTGAATCTGGTTTTTTGTGCTAATTGTGAACCTGGTTTTTTGAGAAAATTGTGAATCTGGTTTTTTGTGCTAATTGTGAATCTGGTTTTTTGAGAAAATTGTGAATCTGGTTTTTTGTGCTAATTGTGAACCTGGTTTTTTGAGAAAATTGTGAATCTGGTTTTTTGTGCTAATTGTGAACCTGGTTTTTTGAGAAAATTGTGAATCTAGTTTTTTTGTGCTAATTGTGAATCTGGTTTTTTGTTTGGGGGTTTGCTTTAGATCAGAATGAAGTCTACTCACAAAGGGTAATAATGCGAAAGAAAGAGTTGAGCAATAAAATCCGCTATTCCAATTCCTTCCCGGTTAATTCCCAGATTAGGCGGGATTACGTGGGACCTCCAGTTGGGATAACTCTAAGCAAACTCGAACAGTTCTCTCAATAATAAAGGACAACTTCGAAATTGAGGTCGCCATTCAATGAAAAAAAGTAATTATCGATCCGGACATTTTTGTCAACGTCATGCTTCAATAGTGAATTGATATACAAAGTTAATTGAATTAGTAATGCGTTCAAAAACCGTTTTAAAAAAGAGTTCAAAACTTGTCGGATTTTTTGAAGACAACCTAAATTTTACAAACGAATTTTTAAAATCTTTCAACCTTTCATGATCTCTTTTTCAATTTGCCAATTTTTTTGCCTGATTTCTCTTTAGTCACATAATTACATCTTTCGGCAAAACTAATTACTTTATTGGCTGTAACTTTTGAAGAGTTAAGAACGAAATGTTATCAAAGGCTTGATGTCACGTGTGTTAAATTCAGCAACATTTTCTAGTAAAATAATTTAAAAAATTCGAATCTACTTAGAAGTTACCTCACCCTGGTAAATTTTATAAAAGTTGAAAAAAAACTTTTTTTCAATCCAAGAAGGCCAAATTGTATCCGGGTTGAGTTAGAAGGAAAAACTATCCCTAATTCAGAGATATCCTAGCGATTACCATCTATGGTTCAGTCTATGACCAGGGTCACTTAATCCATGATCAGGGCTAAATCATCGCTGAATTAGCTCTAAATTTTCAAGTCTGAATCAAACATGATCCATCCATGAACTAGGGATGGTTTTTCAGTGCAATAACACCCTGAATATCTATGAATCAGTGAAAAAAATTATACATAAGTTATTATAGCAAAATGAACCTTGTAAGAATTTCAAGGCTGATTTCGTTTAGAAACCAGAAGAACCCAATTTTTATTGGAGTTTCTCCTGCTGGGCTTTTGTATGGCCGTTTTATGCTGCTTTTGGTGATATACAGTTTAAGTGAAAGTCAATCTGAGAAAAAAATCAACTTTACAAGCCTCAGGTGTTGAATAAGACAAACTTACTCTGCTTATTTTGACAACTGAATTCGAAATTCCCCTTTTTGTTTAGAAAACCCTATGCAAAACATTTAGCTGTGTTATTTTCAGTATTTGTTCAATGGAGTCTAAAATTGAAGGCAGTACGGAAGAAATACTTCATAAATTAGACTGCGTGAATTCAGTTCTAACCTGTTGAAATCGACTTCGAAGAGAGTGCTCTATTGAAACTTAAGGTAATTGATAAACTAAATTTGCCAGAGTTTAATATTGAGTAAGAAGCTTAAAATGGTCTTTCAAAGACAGAATCAAAAGCAATTTGCGTGAAAACGCTGGATTAGTTTTGATTGAGACCTAACTTTTAAAAAGACCAGAAATACCCGTGGAATTGAAATGTCTCTAATTTACTGGATTTAGGAACCCTGATTGAAGGCCATCAAATCAGTTTTTCAATAGCTTCTCAAAAAGCGGCAGTCGCCTCTCTTAAGGGACCAGAATTTACCTTTTTTGTCTTCAAGGTAAACCTTTACTGACAGCTGTCGTAGTTAAGCTCAAAGGACCAGCTAAATCCTCTTAGTTGCTCTTCGAACTATTCAATTTGGAATATCAAACTCTAATGATTGACAGAAGATCGAATCCAGGCTAAGTTGGGTTACAACAGTTTTATCCGCGGGTTTTATCAAAAACCTTCCAAAATCGTAACTCGAAAAATTGGATCTCTTTAGCTGGATCTCCTTTTTATGGTACCAAGTAACGAAAACCCCCCTCCCTCTGTTGCAAAAGGGGGATAGTAACAGAGATCCAAATTTTCGATTAAAAAATTTCATGAGAATTTCTTGTAAAGTAGAAGAATACATGTAGAAATTATGACGGCAAATTGAGAAAAAGAAGTAGGGCAATCAATTAATAGCGTTCAACCAAAGTCAACATAAACTAAAAGCTAACAGGCACTTTACTCGTTTTTTTTAAATAAGGAGCCCGCTTTTACCAAACTTAAGCACAAAAAAACGACATTACGAGGCCAAACTGTGCACTGGATAGGCGCACAATTTTGTGTCTGTATGTTCCTGGATTCCAGATACAAATCTTTAAACGTGTTCCAAAAATTAAGTGGATTCCGCATCAAGCATTATATCTAGTTGTTCTGTAAATGGAATCCGCAAAATGTAAGTGGAATCCGCAAACAAATGCGGAGTCCGCTTACAATTTGCGGATTCCACTTACAACTTGCGGAGTCCACTTACAATTTGCGAATTCCGCTGACAGTTGCGGATTCTGCAACAGCTCAATGTAACTATACACACGTCTTTTTATTTGTTTGTGAATTCCACAAACTATTTTGGTTTCCTCAAACACAGTTGCGGATTCCGCAAGATTGCCTATTTTTGGGGCGATTTCGAGCGGTACAATGTTTTAAGTATTTGTTTGAGGAATCCAAAACAGCATAGAAGATCAAAGAAAAGTAGAAATGTTGCCGATTCCGTGACAAAGCTGATTTTGACCAATTACGAAATCCGTTTACAATGCACAAAAATCACAGTTTGGCCTCAAAATGGAAAAATTACCACAAGCCTAAATTTTCAAGATACTCGTAAGCCTAAAAACTGGAAAGAAAAAACAAGAAGTTCTCAGAGCCAAAAGAGGAATTTCATGGTCTTCGAACCGCTATTTAAAGTCAGCAAATATAGTTCGAAAATGTATAAGTAAGTTAATTGTCCTGTCCCTATTTTCAACAATTGTTTCCTTTTCCCCGTTTTCAATGATTAACTTTATCAAGTTTCGTAACCACCATTGAGACTAAGTTACGAAACTATTGAAAAAAATTGAAGCTGCCTTGATTACACAGGCAGGGAAAAACCGTGGACTTACTGGGTAGTCACTAAAGAATCCGGGGCAATCCTGGATATTCTAATAGAAGCCATTCAGGATCCCTACCAGGATATCTAAGATGAAAAAATTCTTGAACACCATGCCTGGAAACCTAGGGAATGGGCAATTTTCTACAAAAATTTAGCAAAATTTTTAAACGTAGCAAAGGTTCTTTTTTTTCACCGCAAAATCATTTTTGAAGCAAACTTTTATATAAAAAAAGTATATACATGCGAAAAAGTATTTCTTTCTGTATAACGTAGTCCATACATTCAAAAATCAAAACAATTATTTTGTGTGGAGGCATACTTACGTTTTTTGGATTTCAAATGGTGAGAAAAACCTTTAGCCTCACAAAAACTGATCCCAAACATTGCAACACGTCATGGAAAAAAAATACGTTTTGTTATCATAAATTTCTTCTAAATTCAAGCTCAATTTTTATGGTGAATCTACAAATGCAGTTTATCTGCTAGATTCTTGCCAACTTTTCTGTGAGTTTTCTTAACTGAGATTGGTTATTTTAATCGAAGTTGAAATTAACTGGTAACTTACAAAATCATTTATTGTACTATAAAAATCATGAAACTGCTATCAAAGTTTGAAAAAAATATATTAAATCTGTAAGATCCTTGAGTTTCAAGCACTCCCCGAATTTACCCATGTGCCTCTTGTCTCGGAGGAATAATGTTTTAACAATTCCTGGAGTAAGATTTTATAGAGACTAGCAGAAACTATGAAGTAGTACAATATACAAGCAATAAGAAACTAAAAAAATGCAAATCTTACAAAACACTGCAAGTCTTACATGAGAACTCGTTTCCTTTAAAAATTTTATACAAAAACTCTGATCGGACGAATGTAACCAATCTTAAGCAAGGTTTACAAGATTCTTAGAAAAACTTGCTTTCTATTGACCCGGGATCAAATTCAGTTTCAAAATGAAAGAAAAGAGTATGTTTTTTCTTGTTTGTATTTTCTTCAGACATTTTTGGTTTGTATTTGATCGGAAATTACAGAGCTCAAAATCTTTTTACAAAGAGCATTTTAAACTTAAAAGGCTCCAAAAAGTTTAATTAATGTTTAAAAGAGCTTGAAAATTGAACTATTCGCCTTAAAAAAAAAAAAAAAATTTCCGATAATTTAATATGCCACAAATGGGGTCTCATGCACTAAACGGCCCAAAATTAATTTTTCTACATCGTAAGCTAGAAATTATGCAATCAAATTTGATTGGGTAATTTTAGCCAATCAAATTCAAGTTACACGGTCAGGCATTCCGATCAACTTTTCTAGCAGATAAAAATATTAGCCGAAATTGCCAAAAAGGTGGAACTTCGAGTCAAATTATCAAATTAATTTTGAATCACTTGTGAAACCTTGCCCAGACAAGCAAAATTCAGTAAAATGGCTTGACAAAACAAAATTCAATTTTCTTTATCATTTCGGCTAATAATTATATCTGCTTGAAATTTCAATTGAAATGGCAGAAAATGTCGATGGAACTAGATTGGCTAATTAGCCAATCAAATTCATCCACAAAAATTTCAGTTCAAGAGATGTAGAAATAATGAAATTGGGTTCTTTAGTGCATAAGACCCCGCAAATGTACTCAAAAGTTTAACTTCATTTAAAAATTGGTCTTCACTAAGGTACGATGAGAATTTTAATTATTTTGAAGTTTTTATACCTCATCATTGGCGCCCTTCATAATAAAGAGATCGAATGTTAAAAAGTTAATTTTAGTTAATCAGGTTTATGCATTTGGAAATCTGCAAGAAATCGCAAAACCGCAAAACTATTTTGAACCGATTGAAAAATAAGATGATTGAAACTGAGCTTCGAAATTTTGTCAGATCTAGAACGGATTGGAAAAAAAACACATTACTTAACGGAAACCGTTTTTGAATTTAACTGAGAAACAGAACAAAAAAGTATTTGATATCTGCAGGAAATGCTTAGAAAAGTTAGCTGTAATGCTAAAACTCCTTCTCTGTTTAATATGAATTCGTTTTGTGCAAAAAAATTATGAGCGAATACGAAATACTAATGATTCTGGTGATTGAAAGATTTTCATCAATCGCTCCCTTCATTATAAAATTAGGCATGAATAAATCGTGAAAAAAGCATCAAAAAATCAAGTTAAAAGTCACCTTTTTGTAAGCTTGAGCAAGTTCTTGGATTGTTTTTTCTGCAAATCGGTTATTGTCTCTCGAAGAAAAACTCTGTACTAAAGTATACCCAAACCCCGACCACAACAAAACCCCCACCCGCCCCCTAAATCCGCCTTTGCCTTTTAGTTATTTATTTCATATTTGTAGTAGAAATTTGATATATCTGATATTCTTGCTTCAGTAATTGCGTCTATAATTGATCCAGTTGATAATTTGAGTTCTGGCCTACGCAGTTTTTAAAGAGCATTTTTGATCTAGGTATGATCATGTTTAGTCAGGTATAACCAGTTCTGGTTCAATAGGATCATGTATTATCAGGTATGATCATGTCTGGTCCAGGTATGATCATGTCTTTTCAGACAAGATCATGTCTGGTACAGGTATGATCATGTAAAGTCAGGTATGATCATGTCTGGTCCAGGTATGATCATGTCTGATCCAGGTATGATCATGTCTGGTCCAGGTATCATAATGTCTTTACAGGCATGATCATGTCTGGTCCAGGTATCATAATGTCTTTTCAGCATGATCATGTCTGGTCCAGGTATGAACAAGTAAAGTCAGGTATGATCATGTCTGGCCCTGGTATGATCATGTAAAGTCAGTTATGATCATGCCTGGTCCAGGTAAGATCATGTAAAGTCTGGTCTGATCATGTCTGGTCCAGGTATGATCAGGTAAAATCAGATCTGAAGAATACCTGGGCCAGATCTGAAGCAGACATGATCATATCTGATTTTTTCCGTGGTTATATGTCTGTACATGTCTGATTCATACATGTACAGCGAAAAAAGATACATGCCATAGGACTGATACAGATCTGAAATTTGTATGAATTTTCGATGTCCAAATTTGATTTTAAATACAAATATCAGTACGGGTGGATACTTTTTTTGATGAGTTAGAGTTGTAGTTTAGTACTTGTTCACATAATTGTTTTCTGAACTTACCATATGACAACATTTCGTACGTGACAGGCGAAAATTTTTTAAAACGACAATTCATAACAAGCGAAAACTGGTAATATCAAATTGAGTGGCAGACGCTAATTCACCCGCACTATTTCTGTTTGTTCCAAAACTAAGTGCAACGAAGTGAAGTGAAGCAAGTGGTCAATACTTTCCAAAGCATTGTTAGAAATTGACAGTTAATTTTAAGTCATAGGGACTGTTTTCTCAGGAGGGACTATTGTAAAATCAGTTTCTGAGATGAAGAAGTCTTCTCGTATTAGGGCAACACGGGTTGACCTCAAAGGGATTGTTATTCCCCTGATTTATGGGACCGTCTTCGATTATTGAAGTATTTGATAGAAAATATAGAACTTTTTCTGATGAATGAAATATTTGATAGAAATTGATTGTCAAATTTAACAATTTTTGGACAAAGCAAAACCTGAAAAATATTACCTTCCCCGTTTATATAGAATACTTTTTGATGAGAGAACTGTTAGATAGAAAAACAAATTTGAAAACTTTATTTGATTATGTCAACTTTATTTGATTTTTTTAAAAAAAGCGTTATCAAAAGTACCTAGCGTGAAAATTGATTTTAACATAAGTATTGAACTCAGATGACAATCCACCCATTATCACTCAATCCGCCCCCTCGAGAAAATCCTGGATCCGCCTGTATATATATGAGAGGGGAGTGCGCGCTAAAGAAACGCGATTTTTTGGTCAACATTTTCCAAAAAGTGCCTAAAAACGCATTTTTTGGCTTGTTTTTTAAAATTATGCCTGCGGCGCATAAAATTTTACCAAAACAGGGTCTTTTTAGTGTTATAGGAGAGCTCGGAAATTCATTTTGGTCGAAAATCCATCCCCCCTCGAGAAAATCCTAGATCCGCCCTTGATTGTAACCTTCTACAATATAATTTACAATTTGAAAACTCATAACTGAAAACCTTGGTTATTTTTTGGGACCCGTCTATCGTATTTGTATGTTGAAAATCAAAATAAACTTACCCGTACAAGAGCGCGGGTTCTGGAAATGTAATTTACTCAAAACTGAGGAAATTTTGTCAAGCACGCCAATTTCAAAGCGTGTTGTTTTGGTTGATCTTTAATGTACCTTTCAGATTATTTGAAGGCTTCGATTGATTTCTACTGTAGGGCTTTATTTGCTGCTACGTACATCGAGAAAAGCAGAAAGGGTAAATTGAATTGCTCAAGTGGGTCGTCTTGCGTTGAATTTTTCCTGGTATGACTATGCCGTGTTTTTGTTGAAGACAATTGTTAAATGTCAATCGATAGCACCTATCTTATTAAAAACTTCAGATCTTTTTTTTGACAGATCAACTATGACAAAATTTCTGATATATTTAGCATAGTGCGTTGCCAGAAAGACTTTTTGAAATGGACAAAAAAATTGAAAAAGACTAGATTCTGATATTTTCTCGCACTTTTGCCCAACCGCTAATTATACTATTTTTGCAAAAAATGAACCAAAACTGAAAATCTATAGCAAGCTTTGTTAATTGCAATAATTGTGCCTCATTTCCTTTGGTCGACAGGAAATCACTTTGGAAATTTCCATTCGTTATCACAACTAGAAAAGGAAATAAGAAACTAATTTGACTGAATCTGAGCAAATATTTCTCTTCTCCCGAGATTGGACAGAGAAATGTTGTGCCCACGTGTTAGTTAATAAATGAAGGTTTTGTCTGAAATACGGTTGAAAATAAAGACACCCGTTGACTTGTTTAGTAAGACCTCGTTACTTATTGAAATGCCCAAAAGTATTATTAAAATGTCATTATTAAGACTCGAAGCAAAATGGAAAGAGGGAACCAAAAACGCAAAAAGCCAACAGTTCAGAAAACCGAATTTCTTGAATTTCATTTTTTTTATTTTTTGAAAACATCCTCCCACACGCTATGTAAATTAAAAACTGATATATTTAGCTTGAAAGAGTATTAAATAGAACCACTAGTATGTGTCATTTTATTTTAGAACAATTTCTATAACTCTCGCTTTAATTATCGCAAATTGGTCAAACTCGATTTGACGTTTCTTAAGCCCCCATAACTTTACAAAAAAATATCACCATAGAAGTATCTTTTTAAAATTAAGCACCGGAAGGACAAAAATACCGTTCAAGTGGTATAAAAAAAAATCCGTCAAAAATTGTATGGTAAAAAATCAGAATTGGTCTAGAGAAAAAAACCGCGCCGAGCACAAACATTCAGTCTCAGTCATCGAAGTCGGAATAATAATTCAGTTATTCAGACTTTATCTATTTTTTCTTATGATGAGAGAAGTATTCTTTAACTCAATATAAGTCATGACCGTTTTTTGCAGCCTGATTAAGAAGCATTGTTATTATTCCAATTTTCGAAGAAGATGACGGAATATTTGTGCTCGGTGTGTTTTTTTCCTCCAGACAAATTTTAATTTTTTAACTAGCCATTTTTGACAGATTTCTTATATCAACCAGAATGTATTGTTGCGCTGAGCTCAAATTTAAAAAGTATATTTCACTTTTTAAATCGTTTCTAGTAAAGAAAAATATGGGATTTAAACATTGCCAATATAGCCAATTTGGAACATTTCACGAGTGATTTTTTCTGTCTTGAAAACCGTTCCCGATTGGCTGGAGCAGGTATTTTGCCCTAAGTGCTATGTTACTAGGAGCTAAATCTGTCATTTTGTAATTTAAATGTCTTGTGGGGATGGATTTTTGTAAATGTGGGGCGATGAAATTGTTCTATATTTAAAAAAAAAACTTCATACATTTGTTTTAAAAAAAGCAAGGTTGATATACTTTAAAAAGGATTTGGAATATTCAGGACTACGTCCTGATACAAGCAGCTTTGTGTTTTATATAATTGAAAAACAAAACAACAAAAAAATTGTTGATTAAATTTTTAAAATTGATTGGTTGGCGTTTAAACTATCAATTGAAGGGAAGTACCAGTGCTCCGTAAGGTCGAGCCAAAAAAGAAACTCAAACAACCGGAAATATGTCAAAAACACGGTCGCCCTCTTGTTCATTCAACCTGCTGATTAGATTGATTTTCATTTTAGCGATACACTTGAAGCCAATCTAAAATGTTTTGAATGAAAATGCACGGGTAAATTGGAATCAAACCGGTCTTTTTGGTTATAACTACCACCTCCCATTAAATTCAATCGACAAAATAAGAAATGCACAACATTTAAACGAGACCAGCTTAATGAAGACAATTTCATCTACCGAACGATGGCTGATCGAATCCAGTCATTAATGCAAGAAAAACAAACTGAAACAAAAAAAAAACAATTTTACACTTGAATAAATCAACAATCGTTTTTTTAATAGGTAGACATTTCGTAAATTTCTGAAACAGTTGACTTCAAAAAACAAGAAACTTTGTTGAATGCATTAGGCAATCACAAACTTGTCACAATTTAGCAAAATAAAATTACAGTATAGAACTTGCTTGCTTTCAAACGAGAAACAGTTTCAACTTTATGTCAAGTCTATGTTATATTCCAGACTTTCGTTACTAGAATTTTTTGTATTTGGTACGTCCAGACCAGAGTTTTTTGCGACCATGGAGGTTTTCGCGACCCACGGTTTGTCTTACTCAACTTTAAATCCTGAATTTTTAGACCCAAAGTCTTGCAGCGACTACCCAACTTGGGTCATGCTGTGGACGCGTCGTGGTGTGTACGCTTGGTGTGGGTTGAAACAACCAAATCTCAAATTATCTACCGATATGACTTCTAAAAAAATATAATGTAAGTTTCAAGTTATGATATACAAAACTTAAAAACTTCACATTATAAAAGACTTGATTTTTGAAACATTTGGCAACATTTAATGTAATTATCAGGAAGAAAAATTCTAAATGTTAAGAATGTGAGACAGATGTATTGAATTAAAAGGTTATATCGAGAAACTTCAGACATTAAACTCCGAATTTGAGAAATTTTTATATAATCCTGCGTGCTAATGCACAATTAAATGAGTCTTTTGGCAACATGAAGTGCCGTAATTTCATTTGAAATTAAATCTAATCAACAGTCAATAGCAAATAACGGTAAATTTGGCAGCTTGCAGTAAATTGCCTGTTTCCAATCCCAAGTTTATCTGCGATTAAATCAAAATGTTGCCCGTACCCAACGGAGGCTGTTTTTCTAGAGAGAAGTTTTATTTAGATTATCTAGCCTAGTTTTCTCGCATTTTCTGTGCAGAGTTAATCTGTTTCTTTTCTTGTTTGGAAACAAACACTTTCTGGAAAAAAATAACCAGAAATTGGTTCACTGCTTAACCAGAAATCAGTTCACTATTAATTTTTGATCACAATTAAGCTGAGAAACAAAAAATTTTAAGAAAATCTCTGCAATATTTAAACATTTCAAAAAGAATTTCTGACCAGGACTTAGATTAGATATTTCAGGTCAAATTGTCGAACCGGATTTTTTTTAGTTCAAAATTAGGAAAAAAAATTGCTAACACCTTGTTCAAAACTTTAACATGACATTGTTTTATTTTTAGTCATAAAATGACCTAATCTCTGGGGAAAATATGAGACATTATGTAACAAAAACTAATTATTTTGCAAATGTTTGACAATAACTAATTTTGTCTACGCATATGTCGAAAAAACTAGAACGCTCACTGTCAGATTGTTTTTCCGGAAATGGTTTTAGCTGCATTTATGCTAATAGAACTTTTTATTGTTCAAACGATAATTTTTGGGTTTAAGATGAAAATGCTGGTCGCATATGTGTTTAACAAAAAAAAACGAACCTCGTTGGCGTCCCTCAAGATTGAGAGACCGAATGTTTAAAATTTTTTTACAGTAATTTTTAGCCAATAATGATTGAGTATTCAAAAATATCAAAAAATGCAAAAACGAAGACATCTAGGCCATTAAATTACTACTGTCCCATCAGAAATTAAGCAAATTAGGTAAGAAACAAAAATTGCAAAATCGAATTGGGGTGTAGGAAAACCCTAATCATGAGAAAAGTCTTGATTCGGAACAACAATCTATCTAAAAAGTCGAGAGACAAAATTTGCTCAAAGAAAACTTAATTTGATTTGTCTGTGTTTTGAAATTTTACTTATTTAGTTTTTTTTTCTGAATTGGTGTTAGGTTAATTTAAGTATTTATTGCTTCTTGCGTTCGTTGACATAAAGCCCCTTGACGAAAGCTTAGCAGCAGCAATAAAATTAACACTCATGATTCGGCTTTGAGTTTTTTTGTGGGTCAGCCGATGATTTTCTACAGAGTAAAAAATAATGCAATGAGAATCTGCATAAGAATTTGAGTCCCCGTCTAGGCTAAAATGTGATATTGTATTGCAGCCCAAACACGAATACGACAATTTGTCTATAAAAAGTAACCATTTCAAAAACTATGAAACCAAAAAAAAAGTGGCACAAAATATTTCGCCGGAATCAGAATAAAACAGTTTTATTTGTCTTGTTCACCTTCAGAGGTGTCATCAGAGAGGTTCGAACTTTGAGTCATCAGAGAGGTTCAAAAAACAGATCGTTGGATCATATTTCATCTCAAGAAAAAACTCCTGAAATTGAAAAGTGGAAAAAATTGCCAATACCTCCAGAACAACAAAATAAAAAAATTCTGATCTATGCATTAGTTTCAAATTACCACTACAAAGAGACTGTACATGATATATCTGCACTGACTGCTCACCCGGGTTGACCAAAAATGCTAGTCATACAATTTTCATATACGGAAAATGCTAATCATACACTTTTCTTGCAATTCCATACTCACAAAAAATTGCCTAAAAGGTCGATGACTAATGATTTTGCATATATGGAAACTGTACGACTAGCATTTTCCCATAAACCAAAAAAAGTTTTTTTTCTAAAATTTTATTACTCAAAACTTTTGGAATGTGTTCGCGACCGAACACAAGTGACGAAAACCATGGTACACTAGAGTCAACAAATGTTTGATCTTCTCGAATTTACAATGCATTGAAATTGACCAGAATTATATCAGAGTTTTCTTACACAAACAATATAATGAATTCATCAACACCTTTAAGTTTTGGCAAACATCTTCAAAGATAATTTTTTTTCAAAAATGATTTTTTAAATGATCAGACATTGATCAAGGCGTACATAAACTTGCCATACAAAAAATAGGAACTCTTAGCGTTTTGAAAAAAGATATCCAGAGAACGGAAAAAAATCCCATTTTTTTGTTTCCAAGACTACGTTATGCACACAAAAAATTAAGTATTGTATGCAACAAAAAAACCTTTGGAATATAATTGTTTGAGTACAAAATTCTATTTACGGTTGAAAAAGATTGGGGCAATTTCAAAATGACTTGGAAAAACTTTTGTTGTCGTCGTCAAAAAAATGCTAGTCACACAATTTTCATATGTGGAAATTACATGATTGACATATTCTTGACAAAATATTTTTCTTTTTTATTTAGTACGTTACATGGACTTTTATGACAAAACAAGAAAAAAATTCTTTGAAAACACGATGCGACCATTTTAGCAAAATCTATGAAACTTGTATGATTAGTATTTTTTTCATAGACTTAGTTTATGGAAATGTATGACTAGCATTTTTGGTCTATTGAGTTTAATCCTGGCAACTAGGATAAAACTCAACTAGCATAAGGATTTGTAACACAAAAATGTAATCGCTTAAAAAATTTTGATAGCTCTATTAGCCATTATATTTCTCAATAAAATTTTTTTACTGAGATATGCAAAATTGAGAATTGAAGAAAACA